TGCTTCCTGCTACTGCTACTGCTACTGCTACCGCTACGATGACGACGACGACCACTACCACCAGCACCAGCTCTACCACTACCCTCCATCATCACTCTCCTTGCATTCACTACTCCGAACTGCGACGACGACTATGTCTTAACATGGGTAGTTCCCTAAATTAGGGTCCCTTCTTTGGTTCCCAATATAATATGGCACCACATAGAAATGGCCACCCAAAGAGACCCTAATTTAGAGATCTACTCATTTCGGGAACCCTAAACCCTAAACCCTAAACCCGAATACCCTAAACCCTAAACCCTAAGGCAGCATGGCCTGAGCTGATGAAAGCTTTGCAGACCTCAGCGAAGCTGGGGCCCTTGGCATATGAGGCGGCCAAAGACCGTGTTGCGAAGCTGCAACATCAGCAGAGGTAGGGCGGACAGATGTTGCCAGCATGGGGCGTCGCTGTCATCGCGGGAGGGGTGGTTGAAGTGGGGGTTGATAGCCCTGGTGATGGTTCTGATCTTTGTTTTGCAGTCCAGCTGGTGACGGCAGTTAATTGCCGTTTGACGTACGTCCTCATCGCTGCACAGTACCAATGATCATAGAGCATTAAATGCATGTTTATTGCAATCATCTTAGCATTGCGTTGCGTCTGACCAAAAGTAGGTTATGGAGCTTGTCCTCATATCTCGACATGCGCGGAGCCCCTTGACAGTGATCGGCTTTCATGACACAAACAACTGGAAGATGAGGGCAGATGGCGCCCTCGTGGTTGAACGGCCGGAGAAGGACAGAATGCCTCCATTCTGCAACTTTGGAAACCAAGGAGATTTCGTAGGTAACGCGAAAGAAGGCAAGTCACTGCTGATGCCTGCTACTGAAATGCGTCGCGTCGCCAGAGCCTGGGCAGAAGCTTTCGACCAAGCGGCGGAGCAGGATTTCCTGAAACCGAAAGACTTTGCGTATATGGAGCAGGTGTCTTTCAACCGACCCTACGACGGAGGCCACGAGCCCTTAGGGGTCCTTAAGAAAATTGTAGCATAACATAACCCACAACCTCGCTCTAATTATCTCGGCCCCTATGCCAAAGAGCATTCTTTGTCGAGCCCTTACAGGAGCCCTTTTCCAAGTATTGCGGCCAACCCTACATCCTAAACCCTGTTCCAATCATTACGGCCCATACACGATTTTTTCACCGACCCAAAACCCTAAACCCTAAACCCCTAAACCCTAAACCCTAAGCTATCCCGGAGGCCACGAAGTACGAGACTGGGCAAGGCGCCTGCCGACCACGGAAACGCCACCGGCCATCTTTCAGGCTGGACTTCCTGGGGGTTTAGGGTTTAAAGGCTTCGTGTAGGGATTAGGGTTTGGGGTTTAGGGTTTAGGGTTTAGGGTTTCGGAGTTTAGGGTTTAGGGTTTAGGGTTTGGGGTTTGGGGATTTAGGGTTAAAGGGTTTAGGGTTTAGGGTTTTAGGGTTCGTGTAGGGTATAGGAGTTTAGGGTTAAAGGGTTTAGGGCTTAGGGTTTAAGAGTTCGTGTAAGGTATAGGAGTTTAGGGTTTAGGGTTTCGGAGTTTAGGGTTTAGGGTTTAGGGTTTGGGGTTTGGGGGTTTAGGGTTAAAGGGTTTAGGGTTTAGGGTTTTAGGGTTCGTGTAGGGTATAGGAGTTTCGGGTTAAAGGGTTTAGGGCTTAGGGTTTAAGAGTTCGTGTAAGGTATAGGAGTTTAGGGTTTAGGGTTAAAGGGTTCTACGTTACATGGTGCTACGATGGCTTTATGGAACGAGGTTCCCCAGTAGTACCCTTTGCCCTTTTTGTTTTGGGGTCCCTTAT